ATATATATATATATATATATATATGTATGTATGTATAAAACACTTGGGTCTTAAGCTAAGAAAGATGCAAGAAGGAGGATTTACAGCTCAACAAAGAAAGAAAAAATGAGGGGAAAATTAAATAGAGACAAAGAATGAAAAGAACGTACCTCTGATTGTTGAGCTAGCCCTCCCAAGTTGGGTGGCTCAACAAAGGAGATGCACCTTGGGTGCATTGATAATGACAGAAACTTGGGACGTACTAAAAGGAGAAGATTTCTCGACACAGACTTAGTTGCTACTCTTGAAGAAAATGGAAAAAGTAAAAAGGACACCTCTAGTGTTTGTCAAGTTAACAAATTGGTCCTTGGTAGGTTAGTTGTTACTATCCTTGTATCCAAAAACGCCCCGATTTTTTTTTTAGTATAAATTGTGTATGTGTGCAGAGGTGTAATATGTGAGAAAATAGTGAGAAAAATAGAAAGTTTGGTTTAAAGCAGGTCTCCCTTCTGGATACTAAAGATTTGAGAGATTTGGATTTTGATCTGAAAATTGTAATCCTAGAATTCAGTAGTGCATTGATTTGCATCTAGGCAAATGCCCTGTGATTTTTTCATTTTGGGTTTTCCACATAAATTTTTGGTGTCCTTTTATTTTATATTTGATTTGTTTTGATTATTGGTGGTTGGTTTAGTTCATTGAGGGATTGATTTTGAGCATTGGTGCTTTGAAACCTCAACAACTAGTATCAGAGCATTGCTTTGCAGACAAGGTGCTCAATAGAATTCTACAAAAAAATCTAGTGTTAGCCTATCAAGTGTTTATGAAAATTCTTAAGTGAGATTTGGGTGATTCTTGAGTCTAGCAACTATGGCAGATGAAAAGGATGGTTCAACTATGATTAAATTGAATACTTCCAACTATTCCTTGTGGAAAACTTTAATAGATGACAAGCTGTTTTGTAGGAACCTTTATAACTTAATTGAACACAAAGGTATCAAACCGAAAAAAATCAATAATTTTGATTGGAAAAAGATAGATTGTAAAGCTTGTGGTGTAATCTGCAAATGGTTGCCATGAGTGTAATTCATTATGTGGCTCAAGAGAAGAAGACTCATAAATTGTTAACTAAACTTGAAAAGCAATTTCAAAGAAAGAATGCATTAAAGAAAGCATCACTTATTAGAAAGCCAGTCACTCCCAAGTAAAAGAAAGGCAAAAATGTATCTGAGCACTCGAATGATTTCCAGGAAATCTTAAATGAACTAGTTATAGTTAAACTAGTTATAATTTCCAAGAAATCTTGAATAATTTTGTTTTATCGTTTTTTAAATACTCACTGTTATCTTCAAAGGAATCCATATCCCCAAATGCCCACTGCAAGCAATTTTGCTTGCCTTTCAACCGAATCCAAGCCCTATATCTCTTTGTTTATGGTAAATCTGTTTGTCCTCATGGCCTGATGATGGGAAGAGCTATCTCCTTGAAGTTGCAGGCGAATCCCTCTCTATTGCAGCTTCGAGTGCATCTCAATTTGTTGGGAGGTGGAATGGGCCCTTGAATCTTGAGTGTTTGATTGAAGGATGGTTTCGATTGCTGGCTTTCTCACAGGTAATTGTCTCCCTGTAGTCTTCTTCTTGGTTTCTATTTCTTTGCTTATCCAAACATCAGAGTTGGGATTTTGGGTTTTGATTCCTAAAAAGACAAATAATAATTAAAGGCGGAAGGTGGTGGTGTGACCATGTGGTAATGGTTGTGGCCTTGTGGTGGGGTGGGTTGGAGATAGGAATTATAACTTCCTGCAGTCGTTGCTTCTGTATCAAGAGCTTCTGACGGAAACCCAGAATAAAAGCAGCAAGCTTTGAAAGCAAAAGACCGTTTTTCTGGGTCGGTGGTGATGTGGAGAATGATGGGGACATGCACAAATCCAAGCTGAGGGTGAGGACTGATGAGAATACCCATTTGTTATTTTCTATTGCACGTTCCCAAATTTCGAAGGTTTCTTTTGATTGAACTAAAATCATCTAAAATCACTCTAAAATCACTCTAAAATCACTCTATCAAGCATACTAGTTACTCCAAATAATATAATAATAAATAAAATAACAAATACACATTAATTAAGTACAAAAATAATTAATTTAAATTCATTTAAACGATAGACAAGAAAGAAACTTTAATTAAAAATAATAAAAAAATAACAATTAAAATAAAATTAATTAAAATATCAGATATTAAGACATTGATTTTATTATAGTTAATTAATATAAATTCTAAATTAATATGTTTTCAAAATCAATTTATTGAATGTTATTGTATGTAATGACAGATTTTCCTAATTTATGTAATTTTAAATAAACTAATGAGTATTAAATTCTATAAAAACCTATAGTTTAAAAAGGGGAGCTCCTAATTCTTTTCTTCTTCTAGTACCACATGTGATAATAATTACTCATCGGTCTTATAGTCTAATATACGGTTTATATTATTATTAATTTAATTTATGTAATTCTTTCTCAAGTTACTGCATAAATCACTAAATCAACTGAAAAGTGATCAAAATTTTAATGCATTAAGTTCAACAATATAAATTCATCATGTGAATAATTTTAATTAAAAATATAAAATCACAAAATTTATAATAAATTGATTATGTTATATCGTAACCTTAATAAAATAAATTAGTTTATAATAAAAATAATAAAATATGAAATCATTATTATGAACATGAGAATATCAAGAAAAAAAAAACTCAATTAAAGAAACTGAAATTCTTAATTTTTTATTATTAACAGATCTCATATCTTGATCTCTAATAATGTCCAAAAGAAGACTATCACTAACCTTCTAAGCTCTTCTCAATTCCAAAGTTAGATGGGTATTTATAGGATTTTAAAAATCCTAATTGAAATAAAAGTGACACCCACACCCAAAACAATAAATTAGGTATGGATTCCTGAAATCTCATAAGGCGTGAACACCTTTAACTAGGTGCCGACACCTTCTGTAAAGCGCACGTCAACAATTCACCGTGTCGGGGTTTTGGCCTTCTAAGAATTTTTATTAATGGTAAAATAACAGTCCTGGTCCCTAACTTTCCGATTCTGCACAAGTTGATGCTCATATTTTTTATCTTTACAATTTACTCCTAAAAATTATAATTTCTTTCAATTAAGTCCTTTCCTACCCAAAAAATGAATATTATGTCAAATCAAGTAAAATCTCATAAAACTCATCCAAATAACAATAATATCAAGGCAACAATTTCACATCAATATCTATATAAATTTAACTTATTAAATTCTCTCAAATTTAAGTTTTACTCGTCCTCGAGTAAAATAAAAAAAACAAATAAACAAAAAGAAAATAAAACTTAACTTACTTTCGTAAGAATCATGATTGTACTTAGCATGTACAACAAGCCTTTAAATCCCTAGGTCACCCTAGTGGACGAGTTGTGTCTAGTAAGGGTTTTCAGTGGATCTACCCACAAAATCTCAATGTAAGAATGCAACTATATGATATGCATGCAAAGACAATTTAGGAATTAAAGTTCAATTAGATACAAAATATCAAATATTCAAGAGTTTTCATATACTCACTTAAAGTCAAATATTCCATTATATTCTTCACACCACTTCTCAAAAGATTTAACTCATGAACATTTAGTGTATGTGTGAAAATTTAGAGTAAGAAATCTCGAGTTTAAACCTGTTTAAACCTTTACACCTTAGCACTTATTATTATTTTTTTTC